TACTATGCCAGGAATTCAAATGTGCTCTCTGTTTTAATTTTTCCCCCTATTATTTCTACTAGATAAAACACAGTGAATCATCATTAGAAACAGGTTTAAATGTCTTGTTATACAAAAATATCACATATAAAATCATTAGATTAATGTCGTTTGTGACTAATTGCTAAGTGTTTATAGTTTTATGCACACATTTGGTAGAAATATTTACTTTAAAATGTAATATAAAGAAGCCCTACAGGCAATTTGGTGCAGTGGAAATAGCATTAGCTTTGAAGTCACTAGATATAGGTTCAAATCCCTGGCTCTGCCGCTGGGCAAGTCGTTTAATCTCTCTCAGCCTATCTTCAAAAGAAGTTCTAAACAGGTGATCTCTAGCTCTTGATCCTACACTTATGACCCTAGAAATCTCCAAATTGTTAAGGTGGGAAATGTTCAGGTTTTCAATGTCCACCAAAACCTCCACAAGCACGACATGATCCTGATGCCACTGAATTCACTCACTTTCCCTTTTTCTTTAAACTCTTCCTTGCTGCCATCTATCATCATAACTCCTATGACCTCATCAATATAAATGGGTGCCCACATGGTTTAAAGTATTACCCAAGTTCCTTTCATGCAGAAGATGGCTTGGAGCCCACCACAGGAACACAACTCATGTTATCCATAATGTGAACTCAAAAACTACCTACATGAACTACTGACTGGAGAACTAACACATATGAAATGTAATACATGGTACCACAAGAGTATATGTAAACAATTCCTTTGTTGGGTCAGAGCTGACAAAGGCAGAAACCAATCTGCCTGACCTTCCAAGAATGTATGTACTATTTTATTCAGGCTTTCCTGAGATTAAGTGATTGTTACTGTCTTTTCAATCTAGAAAATAATGATCCAAATATTAAGCTTCAGATTCTCCATTCCCTTCCCCTCCCCCCCAACACCTACATGAATTCCAGCCATTTTGACCACAGCAGGACACCTCTGGCACTATGTAAATACTGTTTCGGTCATTAATGCTGGAATTGTAATGAACTGCTCTATAATTGTACCGAAACAGCAGCACCAATTCTCTTCTCCCACACACTGTTCCTTGGCAGCATTGTTAGGCTAGAATTTGCCTTTGAAGTGATTTAGTTTTTGGTTTCTAAGACCCCACAACTCATGGGTTAGTCATTTGAGTGTTTCATGTAGCTTAGTAAATGACCCACTAAACAAGGTTAGGTTGTTTTTCCAATGGATACTTCTACCTAGGGTGATCACCTCTGGAAAGGGAGGAAATGCTCTAAAACTTATATGCCGGTATTATTTCCGAAAATACTTTCAAATTTATATCTTGTTCTATTGTCACAAAATTCCTGTATAGAACAGAAGGGAGAACATTATTTTATTGCTTTAATTTCTATAGACAAGAGGATCAGGGCACAGAAAGCTTCCTTAAGGGAGCAGAAAGTCAGCAGGAAGAGTCAACGTTCTCAGCACAGTGTCACTGGAAGTTTTTGCTGGTGTTGCTGTTTGTCCTTTGTTCAGGAAGAGGACCAATGACATCACAAAGGTGATGTCTTGAAATGTGTATGAATTGGATTTGTGAGGCAGAGTTGCCCAAAGTCATAGGTTCTTGCTCAGTTCTCCAAAGTCATCAAAGTCCAGTGGTAAGACAAGTCAAGACAACTGGCGATGGCCCAGGATGCAGTGGGTGACCTTGGCCTTTCTATAGATTATAGTATAGTAAAAGACAACTGGGTTTGCAGCCAGAATATGTCGGTTCAAATCCTGGCTTTACTATTTACAGGCTATGTGACCTTGGAGAAGTCATTTAACTACTCCAGGACTTAATATTGTCCTATGCAAAACAAGATAATTGGAAAATGAGGGAGTTGATCTGGGTGCTCTGTTAAGATATTTCCAGAGAAAAATAGCTGATACTATTATTTCCATTGATGTATTTTGAATTCCCAGGGGTATGTGGGACTGGGGCCTCTACAATTCAAACTCTGAGATGTTAGAGTCTGTTTGTTTATCTTGATTTGAAGAGCATCTGGTAGTGTGACAGAATCTGAGATCTAGAAGTCAAAGACTCTTATAGTTCATGTAGTGTAACCCTCTTATTTTACAGATTAAGAAACTAAGGCCCAGAAAAGATAAGGCATTTGTCAAGGTCACAAGGTAATATAAGACTAGCAAGCATTTCTATAGCACTATAAGGCTTGCAAAGCTCTTTACAAACATTAGGTCATTTTAACAACCCTGGAAATTATTCCTGCTATTATTCCCCCAATTTACAGATGAGGAAACTGAGACAGACAGAAGTCGAGTGACTTTCCCAGGGTCACAAAGCTAGTGATAAGTTCCTGAGGCAAGATTTGAACTACTGTATTGCTGGCAGACTTCCTACTCTATTCAACACAGTACCTCCTAAGGCCTTTGTGAGAGGTACACTAAGCACTAAAATACAGCCGCTGATGCCCTAGCTCAACTAAGTAGGCCAACTAATGGCAGCTCCCCACCCCCAAGATACATCAGTAGAAAGCACTTAGTCAACCAAGGGTTTAAAAAAAAAGAGAGAAAACACATCAAGCAGTGGCTCACAAGAACATTCTAATTCATTCAGATTCTCATTGGAATCTTGAAATTTCCCCACTATCAATTTCTGCCTGTTCAGGATTGGTCCTTCCCACATTGATAAAAGGACCCTCCAGCATATCTTTTACCTTCCTATGTTTCTAATCCTTGTTAGTCAAAAGTTGCAATAATCATCACAATCCCTTTTCCCTGATATTTTCTCCTGTACTTTCATTCCTATCCAGTTCAGCTCTATTTTTTTCCAGGCTCACTTTAATCCTGGTTTTGCCTCTACCTGTCTTTTCTGCCACGCCCTTTGAAATCACCTCTCTAATTATTATGAACAAAATCAGCCAGTTCTTATTTTTAAGTGTTCCTGTCCTCCTCACACTAACTAAAATTCTTCCTAAGGATACCACAAATCTAGGACCACAAAATCACAGAATCCCTGAAGTTGGAGATCTAAAGGGACTTTATAATTGTTCTCATTATGGAATCTTGGAGTTGGAAGAGACTTCGGAGTTCAATCCCTTCTACAGAATCTCCAGCTTTGTTTGAAGTCCTCTAGTGACAGGGAACCTTCTGCTTTCTAAAGCAGTCAATTTCATTTTTCAGCTCTTCATTATCTCTCCCCTGGACTATATTACATCCCAAATAATCAATCTCATTGCCTCTAATATCTCCCTGTTACAACTCATTTCAAAAACAATGGGAGATTAACCTTCCAAATACTTGAGTCTGATCATGTTACTCCATAGTCCAAAAACCTTTAGCGCCTACTCTTTTTCTACCCAATAAAAGTTAAAATGTATTGGTTGGCATTTAAGATCCCCCTCAATTTGGATCCAGCCTGCCGTTTCAGCTTTATCTCACACTCCTTCATACCCTTAAATATTCTGGCCAAACAGGTCTACTCAACCCCTCCTAACATACCCTGTACTACCTTGCTTCCTTCTTTGTTCATGTCCTGCTTCACATCTGGAATGATTTCCCCTCAAACCCTATGCTACTACGTTCATTTGCTTCTATACGTTGTATATCTAATATATTCCATGATTGACTTTTCTATGTTTTTGAAACTAGACGTTTTAATGATTACTACTTTGTAAACATCTTTGCAACTCTGGCACTTGCAGAACCCCTTCCTAGGATGATTCTTTTGGAAGCTGTGCAGAGGACAGACTGGAGAAAGGAATACAAGTAGGAGGCTATTGAAATAGTCTAGAGATGTGATAGCTATATACGTGGAGAGAAAGTGACTGACTTGACAGATATTATGGAGGCAAAATCAGCAAGACTTGGCAACTGAAGGGAAATAGGAAGTGAAGTAGAGGTAAAAATCAAAGAGGATTCTCAGGCAGTGAACCTGAGTGACTCAAAGGGTGGTAATACCCTCAACTAAAATAGGGGAAGTTTGAAGGAGAAGTGGCTTTAAGTGGAAATTTAATCCTAAATTAGGTGAGGACCATACCATCTGGAGCAACCACATTGGCCTCAGAATGCATTAAACTGTAGCATTAACTCTGGAGTAAGAGGAGCTGAGTTCAAATCTTGCATTTGGTATTTATTATAAAGCTTTGGGCAAGCCATTAAACCTTCCTGAACCAATAAAATGAGGGGGATTGGATTAGCTGCCTGCTAAATTCTCTTCCATTTCTAGAGCTATAATCCTATGAACATCTGTCCCTCCTACATAATGTCTTGTATCATACCATCCTTTAAGTGCTCCTTTATGAGATGAATTCATTATGCAACACTTTGCTTATCTCAAAGGGACAACATAGACACAAAATGAGACAAAACAACAATAAAAACCCTTTTAAGTATTCTAATGTTTGGTTTTAGCTAGAACTATATTACTAAAAACATACTGTAACAACTGTGAAGGCTCTGCCTCTAATGTTGACATTTGCTGCTTTGCAGAGGTGAAGTAGTAGCTGAATAGACTACAGAGCTTCAGCAGGTCTAAGTCCATTGGTTCCATCTAGTTAGACTCAGAATAAAATCATGGAGTAATTGAATATAAGAGGAGAATCTACTGTACTCACATTCAGTGAAGATGGCAGGGCACAGATAGAAAATGAGTGTAAAAAGTCACATTTCTTTGCCCGGCAAACATTTCCACTGGGCCACGACATTTGGATTTTGATTCTAAAGCTAATTTTTGTTGGAGGGGTTCAAGCATTTGGAACAGTGCACATGATGTCAAGTCTTTTAATGTATAGATTAATTCTTACTGAATTCTTTTCTTTCTTTCTTCCTACCTTCTTTTCTTTCTTTCTTTCAAATTCTTTGTTATAGAAGATGGATGGTGGAGGGGTGAGAGGGGGATACAGAGGGGAAAATCCATAAAAATCTACTTAAAAAAAAACTTGACCTCTAGTAATAGACTTGCTTTTTCAAAGGAACAGATGTCTTTTCCAAATCAGAAACCTTACCTGGAGATATTGTCAGGAGAGCAAGCAGAAAGGCTGGTTTCCATGCTGTCAGAGCTATCCATGCTCAAAGTATCAAAGGCATGATCCTTGTAACTATGATCTGGGTATTGGAAACTATTCAAATAGACATTTGATTCAGATGCAGTTCGGTTGTAAAAATCAGAAGATTTCTGCCTTTGTCCTTCATTCATCTGTTGGTGATTATACCCTACAAGAACCACATGCAAAAAAAAAATCAGTCTCCTTCATTTTTCAGTCTTGAGATCTCATTAAAAAGAAAAGAGGCTATAAACCCATAGGCAGCAATCAAAAGCATCTGCAAATGAATTCTGAGTCCTGTTCTAATTTGTTTCTAGGCAGATATGATCAAAGAAACTCAGTGCACTCTCACACCTCAAGCAAAAGAGAAAGAGCTCAAGAATGGGCTTTATGAGAGCCTTCTCTTATGAACAAATCCTAGGACTCATTTCACACACTGCTCCTGGATAGCTCCTACCCATTCACTTCAAGCCCATGAAGTCTCTGGACACACAAACCCCAAAAGACTACAACCTAGGCACTAAAGCATCAAGACTTTGGATGGCTCACCCTAGAGCTGTTTTAAGCGACAAACTACCAGAAGAAAATCTGGTTAAAAGAGTTTCCATGGCTTTTGTGGAAGTGCGAGGCAAGAGAACTATCAGCATCCTTTACCACCACTACCACTACTACTACAGACAGTCAAGAGGATCAGTTTGGACAAGTCAAGGCACCTCCCTGGGCCTCAGCTTCCTCCTCTGTAAATTAAAGGGCTTGGACTATATGACCTCTAATGATACTTTCAGCTCTCAAGTTTAAATGTTATATTTTCCTTCTCTCTTCTTTTTTAGCTTCTCTCAATGGCCTGGGATTTATTTTTTAAAAAATTAAAAGGTGATCCTCCCTATAGGAGCTCTCCGTCCCACTCTCACTTCAGTCTTAACATTGAGGCATCAGAATTTTGGAAATATGGTGGGCAAAGGCAGGTGACAAGACCATGTGACAGAATAGCCCTAAGACCAGTTGTTTCATCTCTTATCCTAGATTATGAGAACTACAGACCTCTTTGAACAGCCCATAGTGGATTCTTGTCATTTAAAAAAAATGCTCCTCAGATAATTTTAACCTGGTGATTTATGCTTGTGTTGTGAAACACTTCCCTTCTAAGTAGCCTTAACTACAGCCAATGATGAGACACGGTTTCACCAAAATAGAAGTTTGGGCCCAGTTCCCTTTGAGTACTAATTATTCATGCCAATGTGAAAAGGTGGCATGAAAAAAATTAAATTTCCAGTTAATAAAACAAAAAAACCCTTATCTTAGCCAGTATTTAGTGTTTCACGTTAATATTTAATGTTCTTCGCTCATCTAATGATTTCATGGTCCAATAAACTTTCTATGAAGGCCACTGGCAACTTAACACAATTGGCTGACTTGGTCTTCAGTTCCTTTCCTCTCCTGTTTTGGTAAGGAGCTGCTGCTGCTGCTGCTGCTGTTGTTATTGTTGTTGTTTGTCCTAGGGTGAAGTGGCCAAAAGACAAGTGATAGGAAGACGGAATAAAAATTTATCTCAGATTGGTTCTTCAATGCATTGACTATATAGCAGCCACGTCAACTTTAACACAGTATTCCAGTCCTAGACATCGCTTCAGAATGCTGATTAGATCCATGCAGAGCATCCATGCTATTAAGTGGTTTGGGACATTCCAAGCAATAAAGTGAAAATTTTGATCTTAAAAGTTAAGTAATTTCTGGGGAAACATTAACATCTTATCGATATAAATTGTCATTGTGCATTGAAATTCTTCCCAAAATGAATAAATCAAGCAAATGGCTCAAAGGAAGGCAATGAAATAGAAAGCATATTATGAGATATTATGAATCTTCATCATATAGGCAAGGAAATAAAGCCATGGCATAAACGTGAGTGGAGCTTTTGTCTTAAAATACACCAAAGGGCAGAATATTGCACTACTTCTTTAAATTTACCTTTGATACTTGAGCCTTTGGAATGACTAATTGCTCCTTTTAAAGCGTTTTCCATGATTATGAAAGAAGAAAAAAAGAATTATTTGAAAAGATTGTACAAGTGAACATTCCTTTGGCCTTTCAACAAAGGCTCATGGCTCATAAAATTTCCAATGGGCACCAGTCACAGTAAAGAGATTTCCTTACTTAGCAATGAAAAATGAATGCACAATATATACAGTAATGTGGTATAAAATACACAGGAGTGAGTAACGAAAGGTTTTATTTTCTTCTTTTCTTCTTAAAATAAGGTTGGTGTGGTCACCCTTCCTCTTCCTGAATACCAATGATTAAAGACAATTCATCATTTACACAGCAATTGAGATTTATTTTTAGGATCAAAATATCATTTTTGTATTTCTAAATGCATATGACCCACAGCTGCTATGAAAGAGGCTTCATTTTGTCTTAAATGTAATGAATTATGTAATTGTGAAATATACAAACAATCAACCTTCACTGCATCTTAGTGATATAGGCAGGTGAGTAAAATGGCCTGATTTTAATACAGGGACACTGCGGCCTATGTAATAATAATAATAGGTAACATTTATATAGTGCTTACTATGTGCCAGGCACTGTGCTAAATGCTTTACAATTATTATTTCATTTGATTCTCACAACAACCCTGGGAAGTAGGTACTATTATTATGTCTGTTTTATAGATAAGTAAACTGAAACAAACAGAGTTAAGTGACTTGCTCAGGGTCATACAGCTAAAGTGCCTGAGGCTGGATTTGAACCCGGGTCTTCCTGACTCCAGTTTGGCACACTATCCACTGCACTAGCCAGCTCTAGTGACAATAATGTGCTAAGGAGAGGATGGTCATAAAACCAGATCTTTTAGCTCCAATTAGTTGCCTGGTTTAAATGGTGGTCTCTCAGGGCAAGCAGATATACACACTACCTACTCGGGAACATAAAAGTTATCTATGCTTCTCCATACATATCCTTCCCAATTCAGAAGCTGGTCCTAAGGATTGTCCTTCTTCTATCATGAGAACCTCACCTTAAGTCCTCAAATCAGAATATTCTAAAAAATGTTCTAACAAATTCCTAACATGTTTAATCATATCACTAATGCTGAGGTTGTGAGTCTCCTTGTATGTGGTGAATAATTCTAAACATCTTGATACATGTCAATGGTAGCATTTCCATGAGTGGCTTGCTCTCAAAAACCTCTGCCTTGGTCAAAAATGGACCTTGGCAGGGAATCCATATACTGAAAAATACTTTTCATACAACAATTTAGAAACCATGGGAATTTTCTGATTTCCTGTTGGGTATGCTTGTGCATCCATGGCAAAATGATCATTCACTACTGAAATCTGACATTTCCTTACTATATCCTTCAAGAAATAAAAAGTCAATGCAATTAAAAAATGTTCTAAAAAAAAACAAACAAACACCTTACTTTGTGTTGGATTTCAACAGGGTAAATCATTATACCCATCCCAGCCACTCAGTTAAAATTCTCTTTGTGGAGCTTTGAACCATTGTAGTGGTCTATATTTCTATGGCACTATAAGAACCTTTCTGCATTTCTCTATTGTTGTTTTTCAATCATTTCAGTTGTGTCTGACTCTTGATTTGGCATTTCCTTCTTCAGCTCATTTTACAGATGAGGAAACAGGGTTAAGTGACTTACTCAGAGTCTTAGCTATAAGGCTCTGAAATAGAATGGTCTGAGGCTAGATTTGAACTCAGGTCTTCCTGGCTCCAAAATAGGATAGAATCTATCCACTGCACCACCTAGCTCCCTGCTTTATATAGTTAACTTCAAAAGGAACTATTTTTAAGTGATTATAAGTAAGATGCAGATATGAAAACAAAGGATACAGTAATGCTGACCACTTGCACATTTGTTTTAAAAAGTGAAAAAAAAATACATATACATACATATGCATATATCTACATGTATGTGTGTGTATACACACACATACACATGCTAATATTCAACTAAATCTTTATCTTTAACATTATGTCACCTTCTAAAATCACTTTATCCAAGTGTGTCCATAGGCATTAGAGATCAAGTTGTTGGTCTTTCTGTATCTGAAAGCGGACAGTCTTTCTGCCATCATAACAATACTTGGAGCTTCACCTTGAACCCTGACATTAGGAATAGGTCCAAAGCCTTTAAAATACATAAACTTTCTTTCTTTATATATTCATTTGTTTATTTAAAAAAATTTTGGGGTTCCAAATTCTCCCCTTCCCTTCCTCTAACCCCTTTTTCACCCACTGGGAAGAAATGCAATATGATACTTATTATACATGTGACATCATGCAAAACATATTTCCATATTAGCCATGTTACAAAAAAAAGGGAAGAAAAATAAAGAGAAAAAAGAAAGCTTTAATCTGAACCCAGAGTCTGTCAGTTTTCTCTCCACAGGTAGCTAGCATAAAATACACAAATTAGTCTTCACTTGAACTGAACTTTCCAGCCTTGGACCTTGGATCTTTGTTACTTCATTGCCCCCCAAGTCCAATGCTTTAGCATGAATAGTGAGTGGCCAAATCCTATACATCAACAGTGGTGAGTTTGATCCAAAACATTGGAGCAAATGCTTTCCATTTCAGGCACGAGCCTGCATGGGATTACCTCACTGAAACAAAGCCTTTTCTTTTGATCGGCCACTTGGAAGATGGAAATAGAAGTATTATGATAAATTAATGAGAATTATCCTCCCCATCCTGCCTCTGAAAATTACCAAAATTTCTGCAGGTAAAAGAGTGATGTCTCCTTCAAAAGGAGCCACTTTGGGAGTCTATCTATCTATGCCCATGGCACTGCCATTGTTCCAAACATTTTTATAACTCCTTTTTTTTTTGAAGTGGCATACAGAGATGATTTATGAGCCACATAAGAAAATCAATTGCATTCTTGTATAGCCTTCCCTGGATCTCTACCCTTTTTTGCTTCCTTTTCTCTGCTTCATAGTGTTGGTGACTACCCTAGAGTTGAGACAATGGCAAGAAAGGATGTACGGTAAGGGGTGCTTATTTGGAACACACCAGAAAACAGGCTCTGGATTTAGAGGAGAGAATACAGGTTGAGATCTTGACTCTACTACTCACCACCTTATGTGACCTTGAGTAAATCACTTTGTTTTTCTGGACCTCCCATTTATACATCTGGAAAAGGAGAGGGTTGGA